TGTATGTATGTGTATCTGCATTTGTTTGTGTATGTATGTTTATGTGCATTTGTTTGGGTATGTAAGTGTAGTATGTGTATGTGCATTTGTTTGTGTATGCATGTGCATTTGTTTGTGTATGCATGTGCATTTGTTTGTGTATGTATGTTTATGTATGGGTATGTGCATTTTTTGTGTATGTATGTGCATTTGTTTGGGTATGTATGTGTATGTGCATTTGTTTGTGTATGTATGTCCATTTGTTTGTGTATGTATGTCAATGTATGTGTATGTACATTTGTTTGTATGTGTATGTGCATTTGTTTGTGTATGTATGTGTATGTGCATTGTTTGTGTATGTATGTGAATTTATGTGTATTTGCATTTGTTTGTGTGTGTATGTGTACGTGCAATTGTTTGTGTATGTATGTGCATTTGTTTGTGTATGTATGTGTATGTGCATTTATTTGTGTATGTATGTGTATGTGCAATTGTTTGGGTATGTAAGTGGATGTATGTGTATGAGCATTTGTTTGTGTATGTATGTGTATGTGCATTTGTTTGTGAATATATGTGAATGTATGTGTACGTGCATTTGATTGTGTATGTTTTTGTATATGCATTTGTTAGTGTGTGTATGTGTGTGTTTTTATCTGTGGTGTTTACTTACTTCTTAATCGTCTAAGGGCCTGTAAATACCGGAATCTCTAAACGCACAATATAAACTAAAACCAAGTTTTTCCCTTGTCCTAAACCAAGTTTTCCCCCGTCCCTCTCGCTGCAGGCGGGGTCTAATCCACAGCCACATGGCCGACTACGACGGTCGCACCCCTTTGCACCTGTGCTGTGCCGAAGGACATCTGACGCTACTGAAGTACCTGCTACATAAGAATAGTAACCTGCCCTTAACCCCACGGGACCGGTGGGGGCATACACCGTTAATGGAAGCCCAATTGAAAGGACACACAGAGGTGGCTGAGTTGCTGGAGTCAGCAATCATAGCGCGAGAGGGCCCGGATGGAGGTATATGGCCGTGATGCTAAGGGGAGATGCTTCCTTGGTGACGGTTGCTAAGGTGTTGGCAACTGTTTCATGACGTGGGAACCCTCTTCTTACTACCGAAGCATGACGGGACAAACGCATTATAAATAGCATATATATATATATATATATATTTAGTGTGTTTGTGCAGCTGAAGTCAGTTCTCACAGCCCGAGACAGTGCTGACTGAGAAGGAGTGAGTGCTGACTGAGAAGGAGTGGTCTTGACGACTTAGGGAGTGTTGTATATAGATTGGTCACAGATATATCCGACACACCCCGTCGCAAACCAAACACTATTACAAATTAAACGGAGACTTAAACCGCTGAGAGAAGCTGTATCGAAGGTACACCCGAAAGGTACGGGAAGTGCAGTATGAGCTGAGACAGCTGAAGGCATGCGCACCGGGACATAGTGGTTTCGATGGAGCTAGGATACTACACAAAGAAATAAGAATAGTACATCCACGCACGATACGGTGTGAAGTATGAAGGTATCAGAAAATAATAAATAAATCACATAGCATTTAATGTCATAGACGATGTATGGATTGACAATTACAAAATATCGATATGAACACGAACTACGCATTCAACATGACAAACACACAACACATCGACAATTGATGTCCATTCATCCGATACAGTTGAGCAATGTAATGTACCTCCTGCACTTGTGTGCGAGCGTAATAAATATCTTGCACAGAATCCCATTAATATCGAACAAAAACACAACACATCGACAATTGATGTCCATTCATCCGATGCAGTTGAGCAATGTATTGTACCTCATGCACGTGCGTGCGAGCGTAATAGATATCTCACACAGAATCCCTTTAATATCGACCGCCAGACCGCCATTTGCGCACTCTCCCGAAGGAGGTTTGGCTGTAGATCATAGCCTTCCAAATCAACAGCTGTGTGTGGGTTATGATCAAGAGACCTAAAAACACTTGGTTACGCACGGCCTTCTAAATTGAACATATAAATACGGGCTCTGGGGTTTTTTAAGTTCTGAAGGTCTCTTCTTGGGTTTAAGGTTTTAGGATTTCTGTTAAAAGGATTAAGGGTTTATGGTTTTTGGGTTTCAGGGTTCAGAATGCGACAGTCCATATAAAAATCAAACATAAGGCCGTTTATACACCTCGTGTCATGTGTGAAATATGTGCTCTCACTTGATGTGCCCCAAAATATGCGACGACAGCGCTGTCTCAAACGGACAACAGTGCATTCGATGTATTCGTTCTAGATTGCGTCGTATTCGGATAAGGTTATTTGGTGGTGATGTCATAATACAGCGAGTGCACACCTGCACATATAAAAGGTTTCATTCGTTGATGACTTTGACGGCTTGTATCCCACCCAATGTTTCAATGAAACTACAAGTCGGTGCCACGGGTACTATACAACCGCTTTTAACCCATGATAATCCACACTATTCCATTGGTGTATGCGGTTTTCATATATAATAATATATATATATATATA